GGGCTGGGGAGGGGGCGCTGGGGCTGGGGCTCAGAAGAGCCCGCAGTCCTTGAGGTTCTCCTTGATGATGATGTCGGTGACGGCATCAAAGACGAACTTGACGTTCTCGGTATCTGTGGCGCAGGTCATGTGGGAGTAGATCTCCTTCACGTCCCGCCGCATGTTCAGCTCCAGGAACTGCAGCTTGATGTAGTTGCCCGCGTCCTCATAGGTGTTGGGACCTGGTGGTGTGGCAGTGAGCAGGGTCCCCTCCTGGGCTGGCATGTCCCCCTCCGTGGGTGCTGGCCCAGCGTCACCCAGCACTCCCCCGGGTGGGCAAACCTCGCTTGGTCCATGAGCAATGCTAGTGCAGCGTCACTTGCATGGGGTGCTGAGGACACCTGGTGGGTGGCTGCTGCAGGGTGCTGGCACCCAACCCTTCACCGCCACCCCACCACCACCTGCCTGCACCTGGTGGGCGAGCCACCGCCACCCTTACCATCGTAGTCGGGGAAGCAGATACTGAGATGGGCCTTCTTGATCTTCTCCAGGAAGACATCCTTCTTGTTGAGGAAGAGGACAATGGAGGTGGTGGCGAAGTAGCGGTGGTTGCAGATGCTATTGAAGAGGTGCAGGCTCTCGTGCATGCGGTTCTGCAGAGGGACACAGCCCCGTTAGCCCCATGTCGACCCCCATGTCATGATGGGGATGAAGTGTGTGTGGGAGGTTGTGTGACCCAGGAGCCTTCCTCACCACTTCGTCATCCTCCACCAGGACCATGTCATAGGCGCTGAGGGCCGCAATGAAGATGATGCAGGTCACCCCCTCAAAGCAGTGGATCCACTTCTTCCGCTCTGAGCGCTGGCCGCCCACGTCGAACATCCTGGGCAGGGCGGGGGGTACATCAGCACCCCTTACCCCCTGCCCACCCCCCTGGCACCAGCCCTCACCAGGGGCTCGGCCTCCACCTGAAGTTGAGGTCTTTGAAGGAGAACTGGGTCTCGATGATACCGGTGGTCTTGACACGGGAGCGCAGCACGTCCTGCTCCGTGGGTACATAGCCGGGGGTCACCAGGCGCTCCAGGTCCGACAGGTAGCTGGCCAGGCATGCAGCAGGCATGAGACATGGGTTGGCACCCCCAGAACCCCCCTGCCCAGACCCTCCCACCCCACGTACTAGCCGGCCGAGTCATTGAGCTGGTACTCAGAGGCGCGGTCGAAGCAGGCTTGGATGCCCGAGTCCTTCCAGAGCCGCCCAATGATGTCTGACATCTCCTTGGGCATGGTGCCCTCCTCAATGGTGTCTGAGAGGTGCAGCAGCTTGCGGGCATCCTCCTACGAGGGCGAGGGGCTAAGCAGGGCT